ACGACCTATTTGAATAAATTAATTTATTCCGTTCAAAAAAATTCTATTCAATTCCCATAAATAATTTTCTCAACTGCGACTCGAGAAAATAAATTGGAGGATTCAGTCTCCCAGCGGGTGTTTTGCGGACGCCCGGCATATTGCGCAATGGGAATGTGTCCCAGCGGCCCTGCGTGCCGACTAATTGAAGAGAATATATTCTTTGGCCCATTGCGTGACACCCTAAATTCATCGGAAATTTTTATCACCACTGCTCCCTCCGAAGTGACGCATTAGTTTCTCGTGGATTAAAAAATTTTAATTATGCTCTGTGGGTTTTCATAATTACGGTAATCGGCCCGTCCCTCAATTTCTACCTGCACAGTTTAAAATTTTTGTCTGAAATTCCCGGTACACTTTTTAGAAATTTATCGAATTTAATTACCATTTAAATTTCGAGGATTTTCGTCATTGGAAATTCAGATTTTCGTGGAAAAATCAGAGAGAACTGCACTGAAAAAAACAATTATTTTTGGAATGAACTCCTATAATGATTATTGATTTTTCCTAAATTTCTGATTTTCCAGAGAGAAGAATTTCGATCAATTTATTAATGTTGATAATTATTGACGGAGTTCACTCAGGATCGTAACCAACATGATCGTCTCTTCTAGAGCAATATCCCGAGTCGAGGATTTGGTTCTGATTGAACGTACACAGGTCTTTCCAGGTCTCTCCAGACCTAGATGGACCTGGTAAGTCCTAATCAGTTCTGCGACGCACTTTTCCAGAGACCTTTCGAATCCTCAGTTCTTTTCGGTCTTCTGTTTTTCCAGAGGGAAAGTCGACTTTCGCCAAAATCGAATTTTTTAGTCGGGCGAGTGTTGATTCCAACTATTTAAGCGACGGGCTATTCAGAACTTTCAAAAGTATGTGGAAAAAGTGAAAAATGAAGAAAAAATTTTTTCACCGGAGGCCAAAGTGTCGGATCTTGGATTTTTCCGGGGGGAAAGTCGGTCCAAGGATCACAAGGGTCAAAGTGTCAGATCTTGGATTTTTCGCCAAAATCGAATTTTTTAGCCGGGTGAACGTTGATTCCAACTGTTTAAGCGCCGGGCTTGTCAGAACTGTCAAAAGTATGTGGAAAAAGTGAAAACTGAGAAACCGTTTTTTTTGGCCCCAGCCAAAGGGTCAGATTTTCGGGTTTTCCGGGGCAAGTGGATTTTCGCCAAAATCGAATTTTTTAGCCGGGTGAACGTTGATTCCAACTATTTAAGCGACGGGCTATTCAGAACTCTCAAAAGTATGTGGAAAAAGTGAAAATTGAAAAAAAAAATTTTCACCGGGGGCCACAGGGTCAGATTTTCGGTTTTTACTTAGAACAATGGTCAGATTTGTTGACACTTTCATTTTTTATTTGGATAATGCATGCAAGCGTAGGGACAAGAGTGGCTAGAATAGATTCTGCAACCTTCTCCCCTTGATGGGTAAATTTTCAAGCCTCCGCATGCATGCGTCTTCCCTCCACCCTCTCGTGAAATGTCGATTTTCGAGATTCAAAAAAAAACAATAATTGCATTTTTTATCTCAATAACGCATGAGTAAACAGGGATATGAACGCAGATTTAATATAGGCCCATAGAATTACCGGGACCGGCAAGGATTTGGAAAGTCTGAATACAAGTCCTGCTTACACCTAACAAGTGCTGAAATGGGACAACCAGAGGTAGAAAGGTCTCGGAAGCACTTGGGAAGAGGCTTCTCAAGACCTGTCCAGTTCTGAACGGAAAGACCTAAGTAGAACTTGTCAGGTCCAATTGTTCGACTCGGGATAATTTACATAATTAAAAATGCCGGAGAATACCTCGAATGGAGAAATACGGTATTGAAAAAATAAATACATCTCTCAAGCAAATGGATATTTGCCAAAAATAATCTCTTTTCTCGATTTGTAAATAATTTAGTAAATAATTTAGTTTCATCTTTCCCTGAAAATTAGTAAGAAACTAGAAAATATCGGTAAATATATTTTTCAATTTTCAGGACAGTGACACTGAATGCAAAAAAATCATAAAATTTCAGATCTCACTGAAAATTAACTGTAATTTGGCGCTGAATATTCCCATTAGATTGAAAATTTCAATAAATTAAGGAATTCTCATCTTCATGCTCAAAATTCTGGAATTTCACTGAATTTTCACTGAAACCTGAAATTTCATGATTTTTTTCCTTAAATCGGATCCAGTGTCACCGTCCTGAACATTAGTAGTCAACTCCATGAAATTTCCTTTTTTTCCACCACTGTGAGCATGTTTTATTCATGTTTGAAGAGGGCAATTGAATGATTTGTATCGCGGGGTGTGACAATGTCTTGTAAATCCTCGAAAATTACGAGCGCTCGGCGAATAAGAGGTCACGCAGTTATTTAATGGTACGTTAATTAATGGTCGTTAGTGAGGAGCAAACTGAGAACACATCATACGAGATGACAACGCGAGATATCGCGGTGCTCTCCCCCCTCCCCCATGCGAAATAAAAACGACGAGTTACTATTCTGACGCATGCAGCCAATAAAAGCAATTAAGACTAGTGATGATTCCATAATAGCGCGGAACCCATGCTGCGATGACCACAAAAAACGAGGGAAAAAACTCCCTTCCCCCGATGTTACTAGTCAATAGAGTTTAATACTCTATTACTGCGGGTACTGTGGAGTAAAAAGGGCGTGAGAAGGGGGAACATCGAAGACCAAACTCACCTTGATAATCGAGTCATGTTTCCGAGTGGGGTCGCAGGTATATCGACCAACTGATCTAACGTGGTAGCTCGTAAATTAACTCGGTTAAGGGGAAAACGAAAAATAAGACGGACGTAAACACGCACTGAGATGGGGAAAACGGAATGCGTCGTGTGTGGGTGCGGTTTATCAAAAGAAAATCTTGAATGGGAGCCTATTAATGGGTCGTTGGGGTGCACAGAAATTGAGAGATTGTCGTCGGTTTCTGAGTGGATGACGCCTGGAGCATCTGCAGTTTAATTACATTCGGCTGAAATTTCGGGTTTAGTTTTGTGGAATTTTTGATAAGGTGCATTTTCAGGGAAATTCACGGAAATTTTGTTATTGGAAAGTCATAATTTTGTGAGAATACGGTGGGAACCGTGAATTTTAGGTGAATTATTGGATGGAAATAGAGAAAATTTGGATAAATAGACTATGAACTGTTGGGTTCTTTGAAAATTTAAGTAAATTGGGAAATTTCTATGGAATTCCCACTCGAAACTATTTGAATTTGAAGAATTGATACATTGTCATCAGTGCCAAACGGATTTACATTGAAATTTCAAGAAATCTCTATAACGAAAAATTAGCTTTTAATGGTAAAATCAATTGGAACTTCAAATTTCAGTTGAATTATTTACCAAAAAGCCAGAAAATCCACACAGAAAAAAATCATGTTCTAAAAATAGGGTAAAAATCTCTCAATTGACATTAATTGACATAATCTCAATGGGAATCTTTGGGGCGTGCAATCGAATATATTTTTTACTTTTCAATTAATAGAAAATTCTCATCAATTTCCTTCTGAATATTCATATTCAATTGAAAATTCAAGTAAGTTGTGAAGTTTATCTGTTATTTCTACTTCAAAATATTTGAATTCATTGAAATTTTCAACTGACACTTGGAATTTCATAAGCTGTTTCTTCCTGAATCGCATTTGATATAACTCTCCTAAAATTCTCTCTATTGCTTATTTCAACTTCTATTAAAATTTTATCTCTCGAATTCTGCTGATTCTTCAAAAATTGTCCAGAATTCTATTAAAAAAACAATATTTTAGGGGAGTTATTGGCATATCCAATTGCTTGTTTCCATTTTGTTCATTTTCGCCACCATCCCTTGATATTTCTTGAACACTTAACACCAATGGACATGAACCAGAGCATAACCATCACAATTTCCATTCAAATTACGCCATTTTTCCCAGAACTTGAAAAACTAGGAATAATCTTCACCGGAGATTTCTTTTCCCCCATAAAATTCCAATTTCCCCTTCAACAGTGCACTTCAAAATCCCCCAACAACCTGCAGACCCGTAAATTTCCCCTAATTGTAAAATTGAAAAGAGACGCTCACTCGAAAGGCATACGCCTCCCCGACATTAATGGGATAAACCAAGATTTATCTCCATGTGCTGGAGTTTCAGAGACCCCGAGATTGATGATAGGTACGTGAAGATTGACGAAGAGGAGGCCAAACAATGGGTTGATGGGGCTGAAAGCCAGTGGGCTCGTTATTCTCACGGCTGGAAGTCGCGTTAAACGTCGCCTCACGGTTTCGCACGATCGACGCGAGTGGAGAGAAAAGATGAAGGGCTGAGGCTCGAGTCGAAAACAAAAAAAAAAAAGAAAATGGAAAACCCACAAAGAGGAGACCGAGAATTGTGCAGCGATTGACTGGAAGATACCCCGCGATCCTGCGGAGATTTCCAGGCGTTTGGAGTATCTGGGGCCGCAATTTATTCCATCAATTATTGCCCGATACATCTGGACTTGTGTGTGTGGTAGCAACACATCCACCAGATGATTACATTTTGATGATGGATGCTGGATTGAACAAGGCGGGTCAACGGTTGCCCGATCAAGTTCACGTCTACCCGGCAGTTTTCATATTTTCTGTCGTCTAACAACATAATGACACACATCGAACGGCTATTGACTGGTACCCGCTGGACTACTATCAGGGCTCATCAAATCCACATACAGCGTCAATCTTCCTGCGTTTCACGTCATGAGACACAAGACAACCCGCTCTTGCCGAATCATCGCTCACTCGTAATTAACCTGCGTGAAAAGGATATGAAACGAAAATGCGGTAATTACAACTGTCCGGATATGACCAGTCATCACGATTTATATAATAACACTTGAATGTGCTTCTTACTTCTGCATTTTTTTCCACCAGTGGCACAAGTCTGACATTGAGACGTTGCCGCAGTATGCGGAACATGTGCTGCTTACTTTGATCATCGACCTTTTTTATGGGAGTTGAAACAATTACTATCGCATTTATTGTGCAATGGATGTGAGTATCTCTTTGACGGGGTTGACATTGAGGGCTCAAGTGATCGCAGGGGGAAAAACGGTTTTACTTTCAGGGACGTGTCAGTGCTCGTGACATGAATCTATTCCCAATTCTTTCGGATTCGCGATTGTGGTATTTAATGCGTGAAAAAATCTGGAGTTCAGTGAATTTGTCACTTATTTTTTAGTGACAGTAGGAAACGGAGCGCGTATGAATTGGCTAGTGGTTTATTATATTATTTATGACCGTTATGTATTTATTGATTCATTAAAAAAGAAGGTGCTCTCATTGTGCCCGAATTTGAAAAAAAATTTTGAATCTTTTTGGACAAACGAATGAGTAAAATTTCTTGTTCACAATTTTTCTATTCAAATAACTAAAGAAACAACAATATATTTTTGTTAATATATGTAAACATATATATATAAATTCATTTTTTATGAATAAATATGTCTTTTGAGAATTAAGATAGAAAAATATTTTAGGAAATTTTTCAATTTAAAATCAACTTGAAATTCTCACGTCTCAAGTTCTCAAGTCTGTTATAAGCCTGGGGAAATAAATTGCAGACCAAAAATGCTTTACCTATTTTACTATCGCTACTAATTTTCCGAGAAATATCACTGAGCAAAAATAATTTGATTTTTAGAGACCTGTCGCTGACTTTCAGGTCTTCATCTCTAATTTTTAGAAATCTGTCATCAAATTCCAGTGATAAAAATCACTGATGATCATGTTCAGTATTGCCAATACTTGGTGATAGATTCCTAAAAAAAATAATAGAATAATAAATAAATAATAAAATTGAAGAGGAATCTGAGGTGATTTTCAGTAATCTATCACCGAATTTCAATGATAAAAATTACTGATGATCACGGTTATTCAACTCAGAGTCCACTGTCACCAATAATTTATGATAGATGTCCCCTAGAAATCAGCGTCACCTTCGTGAAAATGAAAAATTGTTCTCCGCAATGATTTTCAGGGTGATAGCAATTTGGGTGGAGGTGAGCTGCAGTGGGCGGATTGGCTGGCCATTGGAATTATGCTTGCCATATCGGCTGGCATCGGTATTTATTATCGTTTCTCCGGGGGCAGACAGAAGACCGCCGAGGTATTTAACACTCGCTATTGCCCATAAGTAAATGACAACGGGTGTTAAACTCCACCTGTTATTTTATGCAGGAGTACTTCGCAGCTGACAGATCCACCAGCTCCTCCATGATCGCGATAGCCATGATGGTTGCATGCTTCTCCGCAATATCTCTTCTTGGAACCACTGGTGAAGTTTACAGTAATGGAGCCATTTTTATTCTGATGTTCGGTGGAATTTTCACAGCCACGCCGATCATCGCTTATCTCTATCTTCCGGTGTTTTATGAACTCAAGACTCTCAGTGTTTTCGAGGTATTCAAGTACTTTTGGATGGATTGAGGGCAAAAGGATCTAATATCACAAAACTAATTCCTTCCAATGGCTTGAATTTCCTGAAATGTTCATGACTTGAACTTAAACATTTCACGATGAAGTGAGAATTTTTTGCCCGGGGTTTTCGTATGAAATGAGTGCAGAAGTCATGCATAAGAAAATGCCGAGACATTTCCCGAAATACGCAATGAGTTTAAAGGAAAGAAATGATCCATCTTTTCATTTTAAACTTCTCTTATCATCATGAAAATGTGAAGCTGAAGATTCAATTCAGGTTTATTTAGCGTGTGCAAATATTTTCCACTCATGTGCGAACTCGTTCGCACGTGAAGACGTTTCCTCATATGATTATTTGAATCTTAAGGATATCCAAGTACTTCAGCTATTTTTGTCCATTAAAATTCTAATTGTGACCCCAAGATTCCGGAAATTTTGCAATGATTTTATTATTTAAACTTTCTAGGTCAGAATGTGAATCTCGATATCGAACAGTTAGAAAACATTTTAGAAATCTGTTCCCAGAGTTCAAACAATTTCAATTATTCATTTATAAGCAACGAATATTAAAAAAAAAATTCTGTGCAAAATGTAATTGGATTGACGCTGAATATTCATGATTTTGTTCAAATTTTTCTCACGCAATTTAGTTGAAAATTGAATTTTCAATTAAACAAAACAAAATATATATATATATATTATATAATATATATAATAAAAATTAAAAAATGTATATATATATACATATATATGTATATATTATGCTCATGAAATATATATAATTTTTTAAATTTTTTGCGTTTTTCGTCAAATTTCTCAATTAAATTGCATGAGAAAAATTTGACGATTGAAAATGATTGAATCAATAGTGTGATCTGTACCAAACTGAAAAAGATACTTGGATATCCTGAAAAATCCTCTAAATTGGATTTCCCGCTATCGAATTCCGTTATTTTCAGCTTCGCTGCGAAAATATACAACATCAAGAAATTATCTTTCGACATTCAGTCTACTTTTCCTCACCATAAACAACATATTATTGAGGAACACGTCAATACACGAACACTATGAACACTATGAACACAACATTAATTATTGACGAACACGTTTCAATCGAAGAAATTGCGCTTTCCATTCCGCAGTATTTGGAGAGACGATTTGGCCCGACTGCCAGACTCACCGCCAGCATATCGTACTTCATTCAGTACATTCTGTTCAATGGGGTTGTCATATATGCTCCTTCGTTGGCATTGGAAGCAACAACGGGGCTTAATGGAACAATGAGCATTCTTCTCATCGGTTTTATCTGCACCTTCTACTCTACCATTGGCGGCATCAAGGCTGTCATCATTACTGACCTCTTGCAGGCTGCTCTAATGTTCACTTGTGTCTACTGCGTTATTGGTGTTGCTGCCAGTGAACTCGATGGCGGATTGTGGGGGGTGTGGGCAAGTGCGCAGGATGGGGAGCGACTCAATTTTAATCAGTGAGTAGTGGTTCATTTGAGGGGGTAGCATATACGCACGAAAAAATGGTATAGGTTTTCGTACTGGAAGTCCTATGGAGAATTCGCACATTTGTTGTAGGAATTTTCGAGGGGAATTTTCTATAGGGATTTTTCTATTGGACTAGGGGGCTATACCTCCTGCTCGCTCCGCTCGCCAACCCCCATATGACCCTTATTCTGACCCTTGTGCCCTTAATCTGGCCCTCGCGGCCCTTAATATGATCCTCATTATAACCCTCGTGACCCTTTTTTTATCCTTGTGACCCTTAGTTCTCATATGACCCCCATGGCCCTTATTCTGACCTTTGTGGCCTTAATCTGGCCCTTGCGGCCCTTAATATGATCCTCATTATAACCCTCGTGACCCTTACTCTGACCCTTGTGACCTTAATCTGCCCTTGCGCCCCTTAATTTGACCCTTATTATAACCCGTGTGACCCTTTTTTAATCCTTGTAACCCTTAATCTGACCCTTGCGGTCCTTAATTTCGAATACCAAATTTTCATTGCCGCAAATCAATTTGGATTTGTAGAATATAAAGAGATTTCCTATAGGATTTCGTACGGGATGGCTAGGGGAAATACTACAGTATTTTTAATTAGTTAAGTAGTTAAAGTATTAATTTCTTAATTTCAAGTTTTGAATGGGATCCAACAGTCCGACATACCTGGATGTCTCTATGTATAGGCGGAATGTTCTGGTTCCTTATTATGCTCGCAACTAGCCAAGTTCAAGTGCAGCGCATGCTGACAGCCAAGTAAGTCCATAAAGAAAGAAAAGTTTTGATTTTCAAAGACATTACTAATATTCAGGAACCAATCTCTAATTATTGAGATTCTATCATCAAATTTCAGCGATAAAAATCACCGATAATCATTCTAGTTAGTGTTTAGTATCACCAATAATTCATGATAGATTCCTGAAAATCAGGGACATGTCCTTAAAAATGAAAACTTTTATTTCTCTGTCAGGAATGGCCATTAATATTACAAGGATTTCCTTCCATTGATCAAGGTTTAAATATACTCATCAAAATTTAAAAAATAGTATATTAATAATTTTAAATTTCCGATTGATGACGAATTAACTATTTGATAATATGGGACTGTAAACTGATTAAATAATTTAATAGTAACGTTAACTAATTGACGGCTTCAATATTTAATGGCAATTATGATTCATGGATACGGCTATCCCTGTTCTCCGTGTCGCGAACGATAGATCTGCAAGGATTTATTCTAATCCACTACCTGTCTGCTACCAATTCAGATCACTGGGAGCCGCTCGCAAGGCCATGTTCCTCAACGTTATCCTGTCAGTCTCCCTGGGATCCGTTGTAGGATTCTCAGGCCTCGTTCTTTACGCATATTACAAAGACTGCGATCCGGTTACAGCAGGCAAAATCAAATCCTACGACATGATAATGCCGTATTTTGCGAAAGACCGGATGACAAGGATACCAGGTCTCACTGGACTCTTCATATCGGGAATATTCAGTGCAAGTTTGAGCACCGTAGCCGCCATGCTTAATTCACTGGCTGCTATGGCACTCGCGGATTATCTCAATCCCCTATTTCGCAGGTGTGGCGCCGAGTTGGATGACAATAAAGCAGCTACTTATGGAAAAATAATGGCACTCCTGATTGGGATCATCAGTTTGGGGATTGCATTTCTCGCTTCGACAATGGGTTCTCTACTTCAGGTGGCTGTAGCCATTAATGGGGCTATTGGGGGTCCACTCCTTGGATTTTTCACCCTGGGGATGTTCTTTGAATCTGCTAATGAGACTGGAGCTGTTGTTGGATTGGTGCTGGCATTGGTGGGCAGTATGATTACGGCTTTTTCGATGAAACCGCTCACCCCGGTTCTACCCATGTCCATCGATAAATGCGTCAATGCCACGTTGATTACTACAGCACAAACTCCAACGTAATTATGTTCATTACTTTTCATTATCTCTCAACCAAGTTTTCGGTGATTGTCATCTAATGGTTTTGATGTTCTTCCGATTCAAGGGATGATCCGTCCACGTATTTCATCATGAATCGACTCTCCTACCTCTGGTATCCACCACTCGGCTGGAATATGGCGGTTACCTTCGGATCCATAGCTAGTTTCATCGTTTCAAAATGCTCAAAGGTGTCACCACCAATTTTAGATCCCAGTCTGTTCACACCAATACTTGCGGCCAGGATTCGACGACGGAGGGAGAAGGAGGCTGCTGAGGGGAGCCAAGTTTTTGTTCTTGACACCAAGAGCTTTGATAGGGAAGCGTTGTAATTGATTACTTTCTCGAAGAGACAAGTCTATCATAATTTACCTCTTAATTTTCAGGAGATTTCATCTAATTTTGGTAGAGAAAGCGGTAAATTTGGCAAGAATTACAATATTCTATTGAAAAATTCTGTTTGAAAAAAATTGACATTTCAGATTTCATTGAAAACTGAATGAAATGTTAATTTGTTTAGCAACAGCAAGACGAGAATTCTTAAAGTTTTGAGCAGAACGAATATTCAGTAGAAAATTACGCTGCATTTTCAATTATTTGTCAACTTACGAATATATTTCCCTGAATTTTCAATGACGAAATTCCTTAAAGTCTCAGCGGTACTATAATATGGTAAAAATTTCCAAGAAGTGCAGCGGAAATGCCAGCCAAAAATTCGTAACAATGTAGTAAAATTCCTGAAAGGGACAATTTTAAATGGAAATGTTTCCTCATGCGAAAGATTTTGTATTGCACAATGTTTTTAAACAATTATACCGAAGACTTTTGTGTGCATTCCTTGTTATAACATTCACATATACGCGGTGATTATTAATGCCGAGGAATTCACGCTATCGCCAGATAACTTGATAAGGAGAATCCGTTAATAATCCATTAACGATGCGAAACTGGGAGCGAGGATTTGATGTCTGCACCAAATTCCATCTGCTCGTCATTCTGGATTTATTGTCGAGAATATCAAAGAATTATCGTTATTAATTGCCGCTAATTCCGGTGTGTGCCATATCGCAAATTGCACCTCCCCTTTGAAAGAACCTGAATCGCACACGTTTGTTTCCAACAATTGTTAAGTGTCAGATCATTACACTTGTCGCTGAGGTGAACCGTTGCGCTCACGAAAGTGTCATTACGCTAACAACTTAAACTCGACAGTTTTACACTGCATCGAAGGAGTTGGTCGGTAGTTGCTCAATAACCTCTCTGACAACCGCACCGATCATGGATAACTGAAGTGAAATACGGACACCGCAAAAAAAACTGGTTGGGATATCTTATTTACAAAGAAAATGACACATTCCATATTTTTACCGTTAAAATCGTCCTAGCACCACAGTTTTCATAAATTGCCATAGTTTTTTCCTCTAAATATTGACTAGACCCCACAAAACAAAGTTAAGCATCCGTTTTCCGATCTGTCCAACAGATCAGGAAAAAAAAAAATTTTCAATAGAAAAAAATTGTTTTTCATTTTTTCTCCGTTTTGTTTTCATATATTACGTAAAAAAACAATCTTCGATTGCTCAAAACAAGGACCTTTTAGGTGTAACGTAGAAACGATCAACGAAAAAATTTGCAATTCCGTAAAACGATCGTAAAACGAAGGCTTAACTTTGTTCTTTGGAGTCGAACGAGTATTAAAAAAAATTATTTCAACCGAATGAGAACTGTGGTGCAAGGACAACTTTAAAAGTGAAAACATGCAATACGTAGTTTCCACTTGAGATCTTTGGAAAAATCGATTGAGGTGATAATTTTTCCACTTTCTAACACATCCCATCAAACATCAAATATCGCTGAATGGTTCCCTAGCTCTACCAAAGACTTTCAAATGTCAAAAACGTCCCCCTTTAATGCCTGATATTACAGATCAAAAGTAGAAGGCCAAAGCTTCTATCTCAGTGTTTATCCATAATTGGTCAGGTTTATATAATCCCCGTGCATCGGAAATAATTCGTGACAGTGTCTCTTCTCAGTTGTTGGTTGCTGCGGACAGACGTACCAGGACAGTATCGCGGAATGATCGTCAGTTTAAATTTGAGAAAACTCTCTCGAATCGTCAACTAACAATTTAAACGACATCCTAATCAGTTCCCCCATGGAGGTGAGTGATATCAACCCCAGCATCCTTAATAAAAGAAAAATTGGCTCACAATTTCCACTCACCCATCACAGGATCCAAATTCCCCGATCCCGGAGGAGGGATACCTCCATTGGCCTGATTGGCTAGCAATTGGACTGATGCTGGCAGCATCGGCAGCAATTGGCGTCTACTATCGCTTCACCGGAGGCAAGCAAAAAACAGCAGAGGTATTAAAATCCCATCAACAAAGCAGACAGGAAGCGCTTCTCCTTTTGCCTCTCATCCTTTATTTTCTAGGAGTACTTCACAGCTAATCACTCAACGGGAGTTGGCTTATTATCAATAGCCATGATGGTGGCATTTCTCTCTGCAATTTCTCTGCTGGGCTCCAGCGGTGAAAACTACACATACGGATGTATTTTCAATCTCGTCTACGCTGGACTGGGTTTCGGCACACCAATTGTCACGTATTTCTACCTCCCTGTTTTCTGGGAACTCCAAGTGATGAGTGTCTTTGAGGTATTATTGCCCCAACTGAATCACTAATTGCACATCATTCACAGGATATAATCAACATGACTAATTAATGAGATATTTTTTAGTATCTAGAACGACGGTTCGGCGTCACAGCCAGACTCGTAGCTAGTCTAGCCAATTTTCTGCAGACGAGTTTGTACACTGGTGTTGTCATCTACGCTCCATCACTGGCACTTGAAGCCACCACTGGGCTGAATGGAACAACAAGTATTCTCCTGATCGGCCTAATTTGCACGTTCTATTCAACAATCGGTGGAATCAAGGCTGTAATCATCACTGATCTCATCCAAGGTGCCCTCATGTACATCTGTGTCTTCTGCGTAATTGGTGTTGCGCTGAGTGAGATTGATGGCGGTGTGGCCCGAGTTATTGAGGTATCCTCGGAGGGTGGCCGTATCAATTTTCTCAAGTATGTTTGTCCAATGTCAATCAATTGAGGAAACCCCAGGGAATTAATAAATTTATTTTCGTCAGCTTTCACGTTGATCCAACAGAGCGACACACCTTCTGGTCCCTCAGCATTGGAGGTACCTTTTTCTTTCTATCACTCTACGCAACCAGTCAGGTGCAGGTACAACGTATGCTAACAGCCAAGTGAGTAAACAGTATCAGTTGATACAATCAGGTGATTTACGACGATAACTGTTCATTCAACCAATTTGTCCAGATCAATTGGTGACGCAAGAAAGGCTTTGTTCATCAATATACCGCTGACACTATCACTCACCACAACAGTATCATTCTCCGGTCTGGTACTGTACACTTATTATCACGATTGTGATCCTGTACTCGCTGGTAAAATAAAATCACACGACATGATAATGCCGTACTTTGCCAAGGAACGCATGACAAAGGTACCGAGTCTCACTGGTATCTTCATATCTGGTGTTTTCAGTGCTAGTTTGAGCACTGTATCAGCCGTTTTGAATTCCCTCGCGGCAATTGCATTGTCCGACTATGTTAAACCAATATTGCGAAAGTTGGGGAGGGAATTGCCGGATAATAAGGCAGCGTTCTACGGGAAAATGCTTGCACTGTCGATTGGTTTCTTGAGTTTGGCTGTTGCTTTTCTCGCTTCAACCCTTGGTAGCTTGATTCAGGCTGTTACCGCTGTTCATGGTGCCATTGGAGGGCCTATTCTCGGGTTATTCACTCTGGGAATGTTCTTCGAAGACGCCAATGAAACGGGCGCTGTTGTGGGCACTATCTTTGCGCTTGCCTTCAACATGTGGGTGGCATTCTCACCGAAACCAGCGCCTATCAAATTGCCGTTGACCATTGAAGGATGCCCTAATTCCACGCTTATTCATCCCACAACTCCGATTACAACGTGAGTAATTGATTTCTGTCAGCAATTTCGGTTTTAATGAGTTGATTTATTTCCCTCGCAGCAAAATTGACGAGTCGTCATTCCTCTACATTCATCGGCTCTCCTACCTCTGGTACACTCCAATAGGTCTATTTGTAGGCATCGTCACAGGATACATCGCAAGTCTCGTTGTCAGAAAATTCTCCAAAGTCCCGATTCCACCGCCAGATCCAAGTCTCTTCACACCATTCGTCGCCTCCAGAATTCGTAAGCGATGCAAAAAGGAACCCACCACTGGCAGTCAAGTATTCGTCCTCGACACGAAAAAATTCGACAACATAGATTCGTGAGAATAAACCTAATGGTCCTTGTTGCTATTATCTCTGGTATGCAGTGAATTAAGAGGACAGATTTGCTGTATCTTTGTTACACTTTTGTATTCAACGCCCACGAGACTCAGTAATAATGAACCCCAGATCACTTGAGAGATAAGTGGAACTTTATTTAGTGTCGCAACTCAGTGAGGCCAACTCGAGCATTGTTATTGCTGTTTTGAAATTGAGGGGAAATAAAAGAAAAATGTTGATAAATAAACTATTTATGATCAAAGCTACGAAAAGAGGAAACTCGCTTTCCAGAGTTAGTGTATATTCTAGGTTTTCACTGCAAGGTTAAAGACCGTGCCGATGTGTATCAGAAGAGAAAATATACACTTACTTCTTGGATCTCCGAGCTATCCTCTCCCTGAATTAACACGTTTGAGGTTTACGCACACGTGATGTAGAAATCGTTCGGCTTGACTTTGCGTTTTACAAGCGAGGGGGCTCTAACAAGCTCTGGACTCAAGATGAAAACGAAGAGATGTGCAGGTAACTATTATACTTGATGGTGTGCATACAGTCATCGGTAGCATTATTGACGCAGGCGCACCCTGTGTGCTAAAGAGAGACAGGGAATCCGCGTGGGAATACATTCCTGCTTTTCAAATATAACGTTTTGGTGGCTGTTTGGCCAGGCGACCCACGCGGGACGTTAAAATGATTACGGGATCGGTTTTGCGGGGTAGGGAAGGTCCTTTTCCTCGATTTTTTTAAATGTTCAGGATCATTTTGACGCAGACGGGGGGAATATAAATCATGGAAAACCAGAACACTGGGCGCACTTTTCAGTACACTTTTTGGAATTTTTTTTTAATATTATAACTCAGTGGAGATTTCAAGGAATTCCGGTGTTAATAATTTAGCGAAGCGGTAAAACGGCTCAAGTTGATTGTGACTATTGGCCGGGTTTCAATGAATATCTCGAAATCTAGGGGAAATAGCAAAATTTTTGTCATGACCTTTTTTGTAGAACGGATTGAGGGTTACAGAAAAGGTCATTATGAAAATTTCGTTATCTGCCTTAAATTCGGAGATATTCCTCGAAAACTCCGCTTCGGTACTGAATTCAGAATTTTTTTTTTAAATTAATGGAAACTGTAAGATTCGATTCAATCATTCCATGAAAATTTGGAGAAGTGAAGAAAATTTAGCGTAATTTGGGATTCAATATTAAAATCAATATTTCAATTCTCGTTTTTCTGCTGCTTAAAAATTTGGATTTTCATTGAATTTTCAGGGAAATTCAGAACTTTATGACGTTGTTGAGGGAATTCTTAGTTAAATGTGCATGAAACTTCATTTTTTAAAAATTACTCCTGAAATTTTGAGTAACAAATTCTCAAATTCAAATTAACAGAATTGAAAATTCAAATGCAGCCACTGCTAAAATTTCACAAAGATTTCTAGCATAAAAAATAACCATTTTGTCAATTTATTCTGTCAACATTCTGTTAATTCTTCAATAACAAAATGTAAATTTCATGTAAAGTGGTAGTTTCATTTTATTCCCACATTTTTCACTAGAAATTTGTCGAGTAATTTTCTAACAGAACGAAGTAGACGTAAAAAATGTCTTCGCGCTGTGTTTGTGTCAATGAAATATGCAACGCTGGAGTAACAGAAAGCCACTCTGTTTTCCACTTCAAGTACTCAGTCTTGACCTCACGCGGCTCGAATAACTCATGCTAATGCGATAATATCGCGAAGATGATCAAGATCGAGTGGCGGAGGCGTGATTCTCACTCGTTCTCTACCCCTTCATTTTAATTTCAAATCATGCCTTTCTGTTGGTGGTAGCAGCTATTGTCCAGTCATTCTCTCTAGTCTCAAGATTGCGGATCAGTTTTTGTTATTCTGGTATTCATCATCGATTATTCATGCTGTGTTTGATGACAACAAATTCCGGTATTTTTAGAAATTATTTCAATGGAATTGCGGCATTCTGAATGCATGCATTTGATTCATATTTATTGGGTTATATATTCTGGATACATGGTTTAATTAAAACTCGTTGTCCGTCGCGAATTGATGAAAGGCCCGGTTTAATCAAATCAGGGGGATTTATTTGGCGAATACTTGTTGGATCCAATTTAGGGGATCGTTTCAATCGAGTTATATAGCTTCGTTTTGCACACAGAGGAGTTCATTTGGTAAAATGGTGGATTTTTAGGGCATCCAATTACTGTTCAACATGAAGAATAAAACTTGAAAAATTCTGAAATTGAGAAAAAACTAACAGAAGAAAAAAATAATAACTAGTGAAGTTTTCAAGTGCTTTCACGAAGAATTTTCTAAAATTAATGCTTAATTATTCTTATTTTCGTTAATATTTGGATGGAATTCAGAATTTTTTTTTCAATCAACTCTATTTTTTCGGTTTCTAAAAAATTTCAATTCGCAAAAAAATAAAATACAATAAAATACTCAGCGATAAAGAAATCCCATTTGTTTATCCTCCTCAAAAATGTAAAGATTACTTTTTTGCAATTTTTTTTCAAAAATTGGAAAATTTGGACCCCGAAATTATCGAAATTTTCATGATAATTTTTGAAATTTTTTTATTATAAAAATTTATTCTTGTAAGCAGCAGTTTTTTTCTCTCTTTCAAGAAGAATAAAATAATTGCGAAATATTCAAACACAAATTTTGGAAAGAATTAAAGAAACAATGAGCAAAGTATTTAGATAATCACTATAGCCAGCTCATAAAATTGAAGACAATTATTAACGCACAACTTAAGTTCTGTTTATGACATCGATCCAAGATCTTCGAACTCCTGAATTGGCGATAAAACATTCTCAATTTAAAATATTTAACATACACACTCATAAATTGTTTTGAGATTACCCAACCGAAGTCCCCTGTTCATTGAAATCAAACAAATGACATATGACTCGAAAGAATTATTTATTGATAAAAAATTCCTCTGGATCAGAATAAATTAAACAAACATTTACTGTTATTTCTCGATTTTTTTGTATTCCCTCAATCAGTCATTAAAATCAAATAAATGTCAAATGAATGGAAAAAAATTATTTATTGGTATAAAATTCCACTGGACGTGAATGAACAAAAACACTCATCGTCACTCCTCGAGTTCATCGTATTCCCTCAATTTCGGGTTTCCGGGTTGAATTGAAATGTCAAAAGAGTCGTTAAAAAAACTCACCACTGTAATTTTTATAATGAAAACATGAGGTCTGGCTATAAAACCCGCTGCCGAGTGGAAGTGAAAATACGAAATGATGACGCAGTGGCCGAAAGTGCGGTTCACGTGTTTTGATACGGCCCGACGAAGGCCTACTCGAAATATATTAATCCCGAAAGGGAGAGGAGAAAAAAAATTCCCTCTGTAGAAACTATGACTGAATAATGAGCCCCGGCCTCTGGGAAGATATTTAACGCTCGGCTCGGTTGAGATATAAAGCCCGAGATGTGTTACGAGAGGGAAGACGACACTATCACGGAGGAACTAGTTCCTCGAGACACCTCAGAACACCAACGTCATTTGTCGTTTGAGAATATTTTTCGCCCAGGCGTAATCCGAGAGCCCTAAGTTGAGGTTTTCATGTGTAGGTGTGTGTACATCCTTGGGTGAACGGGGATTAGGCCGATTGGGCAAAATTTCGAGTTTGAAAATTTTGAAATTTGTAAAAAGTTATTCAGTTGAAATGACCGTATGTTTTTAACGACAAATCAGTCATTTTCTGGAACATCCAATGAAACTGATACGTTCGGGCTCATATAGCTTTGAAAATTGTGAAAATTTTGATGACTCTTTTCATTCAACTGAATGCGATGTGTAATTTTTGCAATGAATTCAAGAATCGTAGCAGAAAAACATGAAAATCCTATTTTGGTGAATTTTCAAGATTCAATTTTAAATTGAATTGGAATTCACAACCTTGAAAATTGCAAATGCAATTATTATTTAAACTTTACTAAATGCTGATTTTAATTTTCAATTGACTGAGAACTGAATAATTTACAATGTGGAACTGTCAATGGGCTAAATATTTCTAAATTTCATGAAAGTATTTTCGATCAGCCAAATCATCGTCAATCTTCCACACTCAATTATTGATTAATAAAATAATGCGGAATTCGAATATTTAATTGATGATTAATTTAAAAATTAAAAATTGATGAGTAACATTAACAATTAACTTATTCAAAATTTAACTTGAATTAAAATTTATGATTACGCCAATCCCTATTTGAAAATTGTGAAAACTGTAACGACTATTATTTATAATTCTCAATCTATCGAACATTCTACTTAATGTCACACGAAAAACGTGAAAATCGAACTTTATTGAATTTGCAATATGAACAAGAAATTCCGTGACGGATTCAATCTCCAATTTAATTAAAATTCAATTTCAAGAAAATTTTCCCAGAAAAAATAACATTTTATCAGACCGATCGATTCAAGCTCGCTTGTACCCCCGAATTGACGATAAATATTCCTAAATCGGCTTCAAGATGTGTTGCGACAGAGAAGACGACACTATCACAGAAAACTAGTTCCTCGAGATGTCTCAGAACACCAACATCATTTGTCGTTTGAGAATATTTTTCGCCCAGGTGTAATCCGAGAGCCCTAGCTCGAGGTTTTCATGTGTAGGTGTGTGTACGTCCCCAGGTGAACGGAGATTAGGTCGATTGGTCGTTATAGGAGTATCTCGCCACCAAAAAGAAGCTCACGAAGTGCGTCCGGTCGCTCTTGGAAACTGTATCGCTATGGGAGGTCGTTTTTTTTTTTTTTTTTTTCAAATCCTCGAGTATGAAAACTCCCTCGGAAACTTATTTCTCGGCTCGTTGGGTCGAACCCGGCAAATTAAACTCACATGTTCGGTTACATAAATTGTGGGAGCAACTGGGGCTCATCTCTGGACACTGGAGCCAAGTTATTTTCTGTGAAAGCCTGTCGTCGGGGGGTTTCCACTCGTGTTTCTCGGTTGTTCTTGGCGGAGGGAGTGGTTGGGGGTCTTCCGCTTACCCTCATTGTTCACGGGAAAATTTCACACATTCTTTATTTAGATTTTTCGGAGGTCGGGGGAGGGGGACAGTGGGAGAATTGATTGTTGGATGGTGGCGGTAATTGAGAGGCTGGACTTGGCCCGCATGGTGAGGTAATATTAATTAAAAATCCATAAATAAGGAGGCTCAATTGACAGGGCTATGAGGCAACTCATTAATCTCACTGTACTG